AGGGGCCATGGGGCCACGGCCACCCGCCCCTGGCCCCAGCCGCATCCTGGCTTCGCTCCGTCACACGAGGAAGGAGAAACTCCGCTCCAGTCCCAGGGATGCTGGGCCCCTCTGCCAGCCCTGTGACACGCTCCAGGGGAGAACAGGGACCCCAAGTCCTCTTCAGCCCCCCAGGAGCCCCCAGCGCTGCAGCCCAGGGGACCATGGCAGCAGGGCAGTGCTGCGGAGGCTGCTGGCCCTGCGCCCTGGGATGGGGAGGGCTCCAGGGCTGCAGCTGGTGGGGCTCCTCCTGCGCCACCCTGGGGAGGGGAAGGGCCCCGGCGTGGGGGTCCGGGGCCAGGGAGGGGAGCGGAGCCAGGAGCTGAGCCCCCGGGGGCCCGTGGGGCTGTGCAGACGCTCGCCAGGCCAAGCCTCCCCTATCAGCACGATTTCCTAATGCCTGGAACAGCTCCCGGTAGTAAGAAAACAATCCAGGTAGTTTTTCCTAGCAGTAAAAGTATAATAATATTTTTCCAGTAGCTTGTTTACCCGGCGCAGGCGAGCCCTCGCCTCCCTCCTGATCCCCCCTGCTCCCGCGGGGAGCCAGGCTCCCGATTTACGTGCCCGCTCGCGGCATCCTCGTGCCTGGCCGGGCCCAGCCACGGGGGTGCCCCGGGGCGGGCTGTAACGCCGAAGCCCCCCCGGACCCCGCGCGGCCGAGCCACTCAACACGGGAAGCTCGCGCAACCCAATCCAGGCCCGCTCGCTCCAGCGATTACTCACACACGGGCAGATTATCTTTCACTTGTTTCAAACAGACAGGCCTCTTTCTTCTGGAAGGGCTCAGGGAGCCAACGGAAAGATAGTTTTTCCTTTTTTAGTGTTTTTTAAGCTCCCTTGGAACAATCCAAAAGTTTCCATGCATTACTATATACTATGAGGTCACTAGTGACAGGGAAAAAATCCCTGAAATCCAGGAAAATTACTTAACTCAGCTCCAAAATGCCACCAGCTTCAAGTCGACTTTTTATTAGCCCTTCATAACGAGCCCTAACTCTGCCTTTTAACGGTTAACACGTTACAAACAAACGCTGCGAGTCCCCTCCTGCTCACGCTAAGCCACTGCAAATGCCCGCTGAGCCGCGGGCCAAGGACCAGAGCTTGCGGCGCAGCCTGGTGGGGCCGTGCTCGGATGCGGGCAGAGCCCCGCTCCCGGCTGAGCTGCAACCTCGGCCCCGGGACGCCCGCGGGGTGCAACCCAAATGCCGTCCCGGCATCCCCACGCCGACTGCTCGGCCCCTCGCAGCACCTTGGCTTTCCAGCCCAGGCCCCCCCCGTGTCTGCTGCCCGCAGGTGCTGGGCTCGCCCTGGCCACAGCTCTGGCTTCACGGGCTGACCGTGAGGTCGGGGACATTCCCCGTGTCCCCCAGCTCACCCAGGGACACAGCCAGGTGCTGCTGGGGGCAGCGCTGGATCTCGCCGCGCCGGCGCATCCAGGAGGGAGGGGATCCCATTGCAGCCTCGTCCCTCTGCGATGGCCTAAAGCCCCTGCGCTGTCGGTGCCCGGGGGCCCACGGGAGGCTGCCCCAGGCGCTGCCCACGCCCCGGCCCTGAGAGCCGAGCAGGAGCCTCAGGCACAGCAGCACCAGAGGCTGGGGAGCCCCATCTCGCAGGGCTGAGCTCCGGCTCCAGCAGGCAGAGGCGAGTCCCTGCTCCCCAGCAGCGAAAGCCGCGGGCGGCAGCACCTACTCACCCGAAATGAGTTGGTCCAGGTCCAC